GCAGCCCGCTGCCGGCCTAGGTGAACAGAACCCCAGGCTGGAAGCGGGCTGAGCAGGCTGGTGCTGTAAGATCAGCATTTTAATTTAATTTTAAATGAAGCTGTTTAAACATTTTGAAAACCTTGTTTACTTTACATACAACAATAGTTTAGTTATATAATATAGACTTATAGAGAGAGACCTTCTAAAAAATGTTAAAATGTATTACCGGCACGCGAAACCTTAAATTAAAGTGAATAAATGGAGACTCGGCACACCACTTCTGAAAGGTTCCCTACCTCTGGTATAGTGTGTACCTTCTAAAAATGAAACCTACATCTATCTCTGAGTAGTGAAGAATACGTATTAAGGTTATAACCAGGAGCGGCGCAACGGTTTTTGCTGCCCTAGGCGGCAGCGCTCCTCCTCAGAGCATTCGGAGGCGGGGATCCTTCTGCTCTGTGTCTTTGGGGTGCTTCGGCGGCGGGTCCCGGAGCGAGTGAAGGACCTGCCACCGAAGCGCCCCGAAGACACGGAGCGGAAGGACCCCTGCCGCCAGGGATGGCAAAATGCCGCCCCCCAAATTCTGCCGCCCTAGGCAACCGCCTAGGGTCACCTAGTGGAAGCGCCGGCCCTGGTTATAACAACCAACCAGAGTGCACTTTTATGTAGAAATCCATGATTAAATCAAGTCTTCCTGGCTAGTGATTTAAATCATGATTTAAATCAATTTGATTTCAATCAAATCCATCCTGCTCCCCTACGATCAAGTTTATCTCCTAATGTGCTCTGTGAACTATTCCATTTTTTCCCTCATCTGATTTACCAATCCTGTGACAGTATTGTTTGCTACTTCTCCCTCCTGGCCACTTACTTCTGATTCTGATAGGCACCAGTTTAGGTCTTGGTTTAAGTTTTACCGGAACTTGGCTTTTATCATACGATGCTGGTTGCAGTGCAGTGGCCCCTATTTTATTCTTTAATTTTGCTAGGGCCACCTTTTCCCATTTCTGTTCCCATTCTTCAGGCACAGGGTAGCTACCTGAAGCCTGCTGTTGACCACAAATATTTATAGCAAGGGACGGCACATCTCTTTTTTTTGTAGGTTTTTTACAGCTGTTTCCAATGTTATATTCTGTTCCTGTGCTTTCTATCTCTTGACTGTTTGCCACCCTGTTAGGAGAGTGGGAGAATTCCAGGACTCTGTGGCTTCTCCTGCTTTTTTTAATTCTTTCTTTGTTTCTGTTACTTGTCCTGCCAATCTTGTGGCATGTTGTCTTAACCATTTAACAGTCATGGCCATAGTTTGCAATATTTTACTTTTATTTTTTAAGGCTATACTGTAGTCTCTGCACTAGCCTTACAGATTCCATTACATGTTTTTTCCCCACCATATTTTTTAAATTCACATGGACCTCCTTTGCTGGCAACCCAGTGTGTCCATAACTTATCAAACTTTGTGGGGCTTTTTAGGGAGGGGCTAAGGGTTTAGCATGTAGTTTTCTGCCATGTTAAATTACGATTCTTACAGAGGACAGCTCACTTACTTACCAGATCAACAGTCGGGGTCACCAATGTTGTCAGATGTTTGACTGTGTGTGTGTGTGTGTGTGTGTGTGTGTGTGTTCGTTGTGTGCTGTCCCAGCTCTGCGCAGATAGTTGGCACAGCAGACCTTAATCAAACTACCCAATGACCACAACATCATTAAGGTACGAAGGCGCCCAGCCAGGTTTATTGTCGATGAAGCACGGTAATAGCTAGACTATATGAGGATACCGAGATGTGTATGCCCGTGACAATGAACCACCTCAGTCAGTGGTGGGACTTTCCACTGTCCCGTAGGCCAGCCGAAGGGTTAAAGCAAGTTATCCCAACATTTATAGACTGAGACAAACAATCTGGGATAAACAACTTGCATATCACCTTATGCGTTGCATGACATGTTTGTTACCTCTCCTTGTACTTTCCGCCTGATGTTTCAGACAAAACATTCCTATTCACCACCTGTCTTTGCACCTTTACTCCTGATGTTTCAGACAAAATATCTCTATTCATCACTTTTGTCAAACCATTTTATCATGTACTAGGTTAGGATGTTCTTGTGCTGGCCTGCTGGAATGTATTTACATATTCAGTGTTTTTTTAGCAATGCTAGCAATACTGGTGCCGAGTTTGAGTACTGGTCACTGATTTGCAGGCAAGCATCTGCTTTTGATATGGCCTGACTGTTGCTCATAGCATAACTCTTGCTGATTTTTGGTTCAGGCCTCAGGCCTTACACCAGACCCATGCTTCATGGCTCTCTCTTTCTACTACAAATAACTTAGTATATCAGGTTCTTGTTGATTGTACATTTTTAGTATGTTGGAAAATGGTGATATATTGCTTATGGACTAGATAATTCACGTTTTTCTTATGATTAAGGATAAGATTGTCACAGAGGTCATGGAAGTCATGGATTTCATGGCTTTCCGAGACCTCCCTGTTGTTTTCTGCTTCAGCCTCGGGCGGTGGGGGGACCCAGAGCTCCAAGCCGCTGTGGGGGGATCCAGAGCTCCTCCCCCTCCTGCAGTGGGGCTTAGGCTCTCTTCTCCCCTCTCCCCTCTCCCCTCCCCCGCAGGACTTGGGCTTTGGTCAGCCCCGGTCAGCCCCTCCCTCCATTATTTTTAGTAAAAGTCACAGACAGGTCATGGGCTTCTGTGAATTTTTGTTTATTGCCTGCAACTTGTCCATGACTTTTACTAAAAATAACCCTGACAAAATCTTAATCTTACTCATGATTTGTGTCAAAGTGTTAGGATTGTAACTGGAATTTAATTACACACACCCAACAGCATATAAAATGAATTATTAAACAAAATATCTTTAAATGTTTTAATAAGAGAAGTTTATGTATCTAAAACTTGTTTCACATTTATAACTAAATGATTTATTAACAGAGGGATTAACTGTAGTCAGTAAATTAGGCTGATTATTTCAGGTCACCATGGGAAAATTTTCAAATATGCCTGTGTGAAAGTGACTGGAATTTAAGTTCCTAATCTTGCCTAAGGCTGTTGAAAATGAGACAGTTTACTAAATTACTTAGGCTGACCTGTTGTGCCATATTCGTAAAGCTTGATCTCAAAAGTTAGATGTTTTCCTCCTAATTTTTTCTTTACATAGAAAAGTATCTTTTAACTCAGTTTTTGATAAAGGCTCATGGATTCGGCATATCTGTTTTTTATTAAAATGTTTGAATAGATTATAATAAATTTAGGCTTTAACACATTTTGTAATAAAATCAAATTTCATTTTAAACAAGTTTATCCTAAAGAAAGAATTATTGTTATCAAAATCAAAGAAATCTGATTGTAATTAAAAATCAGATTTTTTTTCTTTTTAAATCATTGAGTTTTATCCACCTTGAGTCCCACACATTGAGGGCTTCTGAGGAACTGTGTATGGTAGGTTTGCAGATTCAGGCCAACAAGGAAACCTTCACTTACAATCAAACCTTATTCGCTTCTGGCAAGTTTTACTTGAATGAGTGAACCTTGTTCATGTAAGGCCCTAAGATGGACAAGGTACAGGATAACAGTTCAGGGAAGTGAGACAGAAGAGAAGGTTTTGATGTGGAATTGTAAGGAAGTACTCCTGGAATAATTGCATTTTGAAGGAGGAGAGAGTGGAGGAGGGAAGGAATCGGAAGGTTTTTTTTTTTTTTTTTTCGTTTTACTACCACCACCACCACCACCACAAACATCATGGCAACAGATTTTATGCCTCCACTAGCTATTTTTCATGATTCTGAAACGCTGGAATAAATATTTTTTGTATTCTTCCTCATCTCTTTTACTATTCTGAATGTTTATGAAAATAGGTCTTTGTTTCTGAATAGTTCATTCTTTCTCTTTATTCTCCAAAAGAAGTCAATATCCACTCTCTTTTACCATTCTGTTGTTGTGGAGATAATTTTGATGGCACAAGTAAAAATTATGGCAATGATTAAGTAGCCTGAACAGATGAATTTTTAAACACAAAGAGATGGTATTCATGGAGAGATCTCCAGCAGTAAAATGCCTGGGAAGTGAACCCACTTCCATATCCTACCACCATCCAGGAAATGTGACATAAGCAAAATTTTGGAGAAGTAATCACTTAAAATTCATATTAGTATATCAGAATTAAATGTGAGTGTCTTTGCTTTCATTTGATAAAGGGGTAATGGTATGTTAGTGGTTAGAGGAGGGCGAGTCTAGGATTTGGGGTTCTAATTCTGGCTCTGCTATGTGAACTTGTATAACTTAAACTTGCTGAGTGTCCATATCTGTAAAATGAGTTTAAATTACTTTTCACACAGATAGTATTATGAGGCATAATTAGTTAGTATACATGAAGTGCTTTGATATACTTGAAGGAAATAAATACAAAGTGTTATTTATTTATTTACGTGTAGCACAATCTTACTATTTTTCAGAATTTTTTAAGATAAAATAACTTCTGTATAGGAATGGTGGTTGAGAATTTTGTATTGAAATATTGTCTCGGGAAAGCTCTATCTGAATAATACAGGTATTTATGCATTATAATAAACATTGTTCACATTGAGAGCAATACATTCCTTTTGAAGTCCTCTGGTATTTTTTATTTTATTTTAGTAACTACATGTCGTTTGGGGCATTAAAACCCACAGTCACTCTGGTTTTGACATTCACCATATAGGGAGTTCTAGAGTACGTGAAACTCTTTGCTTTTCAGTTTTCACTTTTAAATATTGTTTTGTAACATTTTACTTAAAATTTAGATTGATGTCATGGGAGGATTCCAGGTCCTAAAAATGTTTTACAATGTGCTAAAACTCAGTGCTCTGCTAAGTGAAAATTTCATGGATTGCTTTCAACTGTCCTTGCCTCTTATAAATGACTTTAGTGATGTTTGCTGTGAATTAATTAGGTTGTCTGCTGACTAGATGAATCTGCAACTTTAAAGAGCACAGCAGGCAAATTTTTGTAGATCTCACATTTTTCTCTACCTGCAGAATTGGACTGGCTTAGCAATCCAAGCTTCTGCACAGAAGATGCACTGAATCTGCACCAGCGCACTGCAAAGGCTGCAGATCTTACTCCTGAGAGATCACAACTTATAAGGTAGCAGGTTCTTTGCAACTTTTTAAATAGCCTTTTTCTAATGTCCTACTTCTGTTTTGTTGTAAGTGTGACCAAACTCAGGAGCTTACAGTGTAGCTTTTCGTTTCACGGTTTACTGTTTATATCACCAACAGAAGTTGTTCCAGTGAAAGATATTACCTCACCCACCTTGTCGCTCAGTTCACTGGTTAGAAAGCCAGAATGGTGTCATTTGTAAAACTATGAATAATTATTGCATTTCCCTTCATTTAAAGCAGGGGTGTGCAAACTATAGCCTGCGGGCCACATGCAGCCCACGGAACCTTCCTGCCCGGCCCCATAGCTCCTGGCCCAGGAGGCTCGTCCCGGCCCCTCCCCTGCTGCTCCCTCTTCCCCGCAGCCTCAGCGCGCTGTGCCGGCGGCGCAATGCTCTGGGCGGCCGGGCAGCATGGTGCTCTGGGCGGCGCGGCTATAGTGTCGCCAGCCACTGGTGCTTCAGGCAGCCCGGTAAGAGGGCAGGGGAGTTTGGGGTGGTGGTCGGGGGCAGTCAGGAAGGAGAGGGGGTTTGGATGGGGTGGCGGGGGGCAGTCAGGGGCAGGAGGTCTGGGAGCGGATAGGGGGCAGGGGGTGGTGGATGGGACAGGAGTCCTGAGGGGTTGTTAGGGGACAAGGAATGGGGGTGTGTGTGTTGGATGGTGTAGGGAGTCCCAGGGGGACTGTCGGGGCGAGAAGCAGGGGGGGTTGGATAGGGGTCGTGGGTCAGGCCACGTCTGGCTGCTTGGGGAGGCACAGCCTCCCCTAACTGGCCCGCCATTCAATTTTGGAAACCCGATGTGGCCCTCAGGCCAAAAAGTGTGCCCGCCCCTGATTTAAAGTAATGAGAAATTAGCCTTTTAAAATTACTTTTCCTTTAGCTTTTTCTCACTGATGCATTCAAATCACTGCTAATTTTGGTGATAGGAGGGAGCTGAATGATCATGATTAAGGCTATGTTTTAGTCACTGGTATTTTTAGTAAAAGTCATGGACAGATCATGAGCAAAATTCACAGCCTGTGACCTGTTCATGACTTGTACTACATACTAAATCTTGGGGTGGCGGCCAGAGGGTGCTGGGGGTGCTCGGGGTAATGGTGGTGGCTGGGGGGTGCCGCAGGTGCTGGGAGGTGAGGGTTGGTGGGGCTGGCAGGCTCCCTATCTGGCTCCGCGCCTCCCCGGAAGCGGTGACCTCCCACTCCCTGAGCTCCTAGGCGGAGGCACGGCCAGGCAGCTCTGCACGCTGCCTCTGCCCTGAGCTCTGGCTCCACAGCTCCCATTGGCCGCGACTCCCGGCCAATGGGAGCTGTGGGGGCAGTGTCTGCAGGCGGAGGCTGTGCGCAGAGCCCCCAGGCTGTGCTTCTGCCTAGGAGCTGAGGTATGTCGCCGCTTCCGGGGAGCCCCCCAAGGTAAGCGCTGCCCAGAGCCCTCACCCCCCTCCTGCGCCCCATTGCCCAGTCCCCTTCCACACCCAAACTCCTGCTGCTGCGGGAGGGGTGCACAGCGGCTCGAGACTGCCCCAGCAGTAGCTGGGGTGGCTGGCCCAGGGGCTGCCTGAGCTGCTCAGGTGGCCCCCGGGTCAGCCGCCCTGGCCACTGCAGAAGTCACGGAAAGCCACAGAATCCGTGACCTCCATGACAAACTCACAGCCTTAATCATGATTTTTCATTAGCTTTTAAATATTCTAAGTAATCCTAGAAGGAATGCTAAGGCTTAGGTACCATCCTTGTGTTTTTTCCCCCCCTTCTTTATGAAAACCAGTTCAAATAGTCACTTTCCCTACCATAGTTGAATATAGAAGATTGTCAGTTATAAACTGTGCAGAGATGTGAATTAATGAAATACTGTCCCATGTAAAGTTGTGGAGTTGCAATTCAATCTTATAGATCACTTAAATGGCTGATTAAAGCGCATTTCGATTTAAAAAAAAATGGATCCAGTTCTATAGAATACAGGGTTGTATTTTAAACACTTTGCCCAAGAGGGTGCAATACTAGACATATTGATTTAAGTCTTGGATGCATTCTGCAGTAGTTAATGGAGTGGGTGGGTGAGGTTCTGTGGCCGGCAATGTGCAGGAGGTCAGACTAGATGATCATGATGGTCCTTTCTTACCTTAAAGTCTGAGTCAAGTTGAAGCAGGAAAGTTCCGAACTTCGGTGATGTTTAATTTTGGACAAAGTCCTCTGTTTGATGTGTTGGCTGCTCTTTGTACTGACAGAAAATGTGTTCATTACAAAAATCAAAGTTGAATCCATCTCTATTCACCAACTTATGTTTGACTTGGGTTATCGCAATATAACTTCTACAGCTAAACTTGCCAAAACTTTGTGTATTTGTCATTTTTCTTCAAGTCTTTACAGGCTTATAATGTGATAAAGCAAAAGGAATTCTGAAAATTACCTTGCAGATGACATTATGTAAACAGCCAATATTTTAAATAAAAATATAATTTGAATTAAACTATCGAGAGAAAATATACAGAGGAATTATTTTATAAATTTGACTACTTCTGGTATATTTCTAGGGATTTCCCCCAAGGATTGGCAGTAGCCCCTTCCTGGATTTTTTTAACACCTATTTGTTTTCCTGAAAGGTAATCTGTAAATAACTTTTAAAAGGCTGGGTTTGTGACCTTTTTTTTTTTTTTTGGCATCTTTATGAAGAAGGGTGCCAAGTGCTTTTTGTAGATTCCATGGCCAGAAGGGACCATTATGATGATCTAGTTTGACCTCCTGTATAACACAGGCCATAGAACTTCCCAAAATGATTCCTAGAGTGTATCTTTTAGAAAAAACATCCAATCTAATTTTAAAAAATTGTCCGTGATGGAGAATCCATCATGATCCCTAGAACGTAAGATTGGCCATATTGGGTTAGACCAAAGGTCCATCTAGCCCAATCCCATCTTCTGACAGTGGCCAATGCCAGGTGCTTCAGAGGGAATGAACAGAACAGGTAATCATCTACGAATTCATCCCCTGTCGCCCATTCCCAGCTTCTGGGAAACAAAGGCTAGGGACATATTGGTCCTGGTTAGTTACTCTCACCTTATTTCTCATCTGAATTTGTCTAGCTTCAACTTCCAGCCATTGGATCATGTTTTACCTTTCTCTACTAGATTGAAGAGCCCATTATTAAATATTTGTTCCCCATGTAGATACTTAGAAATTGTAATCAAGTCACCCCTTAATCTTCTTTTTGTTAGACTCAAAGAGCTCAATCTATATAGTTTATCACTATAAGGCATATTTTCTAAGCCTTTAATTCTTCTCATGGCTCTTCTCTGAACCCTCTCCAATTTATCAACATCATTGAATTGTGGGCACAGAACTGGACACAGTATTCTAGCAGTAGTCATACCAGTGCCAAATATTGAGGTAAAATAACTTCTCTACCCCTACTCAAGAGTCCCCTGCTTATGCATCCTAGAATCGCATTAGCTCTTTTGACCATAGCATCACACTGGAAGCTTGACCCCTAAGTCTTTTTCAGAGTCACTGCTTCCCAGAATAGACTCCCATTCTATAAATATCGCCTACATTCTTCGTTTCTAGATGTGTATATATTTATATTTAGTCATGTTAAAATTAATGCTGTTTGGTTGAGTGCAGTTTACCAAGCTTCTTTTTTTGCCCCTGAAAGAGTGCTTTTTCTGATGGTTTTTGATCTTCAAAATATCAAGGTCAAGTCTGGTCTCTTTTGCTTTTTACTGAAAGATGTCTTGAAAGTATCAGATGTTTGTCAGCTTGTATCTTAGCTGAGAGGGTTCTGATTTCTTAACAAAGACATCCCTTCTTCCAACTGTTCATTAAGTATTGAAATTAACAGTGAGTATCCTCTCAATTGCTTTCTTTATACTCTTAATTACTCAGCTTTCAGTTGCTTGTACTGTAAAATTTTACTAATTTTCTAGTGATCATAGATTCTTCCAAGATCAGCAAGAAATGTATTTCTAATCTAAAAAGCATATAATATATATTTTACATTACAACACATCTTTCAGGTATTTCTTATGCATCAATAAAAAGCAAAAAAGAGCACTAGCCATCTCCTCCCCCTCCCCCCTTAAAGGCCCCTCCAATCATTTTAACTTGATTTAACGTGAAAGTGGCCTTGCAAAATTGTCTTGAAAATTTATCAGTCCAGGTACAAAAGCAACTCATTTGCTTTTACTCTGGGGGTGATAATAGAAAGGACTACTGATATTTATTCACTTATCAAAGTGTACTTACCATGGGCAAGTACAACTTTGTAAGATCTGTCTCAAGTAGTAATTTAAAAAAAAAACTCAGTAATTTTAAATGGTTGTGGCAACCATTGACGCAATTCACTGTCTAAGAGCTATCCTCCCCTATAATTTGGGGGATGAGGAGAAAACTGGTTGTGAACTTTCTCACTGATGAGATTTCTTTAAAATTGTTCTAACTATGTAAGGAATTATTTGTTTCTTAGGAGTCCTTCAAGATCAGAGCTCTCAGGAGGAAGTGATACCAATGAAGATCTAAAAAAATCAACTAAGAAAAGGAAAGGGAAAAAGAAAAAGCATCACCACCACAAGAAAAGAAAGAAGAAAACCAGAGAGGAATCAAGTAACAGTGAGTCAGACTCGGACAGTGAGTGTATGAAGGATAAACCTAGAGGAAGTGACACAAACCATGAAAGAGAAGCAGCAACGTTGAAGTATGTGCATTTTACTAATATGCTTGGATATAAATGTAATCCTATTCTAGTATGTGTTGCTTGAACTGGTTAGATGAGAATACTCACCAGTGGGTCAGTTCTAACTCTTATTCTCTAAGTTTAAACTTCCATTGTAACTATCTTAGAACAGCACAAGAAACACTAAAACATTTTTTTTAATTCATTGTTGCACCTGAAAATTTATGACGAATATTTTATGAAGTATTTTTCTCCAGAGCTGAACAGAATAGCAGAGCAATGAAAATGTGATGCTTTTTTAATCTTAATGCTCCCTGTGAATTATTGTAAATCTTTGTTTCCTTATATTAATCCTTGAATAACCTATTGTGCTTTGAGAGGAATTGTATTAAACGATGTTCTTAGATACTGCAGAAAATTGAAGTTGTTGAATAATGAAGCAAAAATTTTTTTTCCCTAAGGGGAAGTGTTTCATTATACTATGCATTCATAATTTCCCCTCTCAACAGTGGGCATTCATTATAAGATGTATATTGATGTTTGTATTAATTTAGTATTTTTAGTTTTATTTCTGGCCTTTAGCCATTCATTAGTATGCAGGATGCTTCATACACTTTATTGTTTGTATATGTGAATCAAGATTTGAATGAATGATGTTCTGTTATATCAGTGGTTCTCAACCAGGGGTACACATACTCCTGGGGGTACGCAGAGGTCTTCCAGGGAGTACATTCACTCATCTGGATGTTTGCCTAGTTTTACAACAGGCTACATAAAAAGCATTAGCAAAGTCAGTACAAACTAAATTTTCATACAGACAATGATTTGTTTATACTGCTCTGTATATTGTACACTGAAATATAAATATATTATTTATATTCCAGTTGATTTATTTAGAATTATATGGTAAAAATGAGAAAGTAAGCAATTTTCCAGTAATAGTGTGCTGTGACACTTTTGTATTTTATGTCTAATTTTGTAAGCAAGTAGTTTAAGTGAGGTGAATCTTGTGGTATGCAAGACAAATCAGACTCCTGAAAGGGGTACAGTAGTCTGGAAAGGTTGAGAGTCACTATATTATCTCACCTGTTGTCTTGCTGCTGCTTTGAGACACTAAAATAACCAGTAACTAGTCTGTATGTAACAAGAAAAATGTTTTAAAGTGACCAATATGATGATTTAAATAGGAAAAAGAGCTTGCATGGGCGCATTGGGTGTCCAGGCTCAAAAAGTGGGCCTTCCATTTTGCACTGACCACTCTCATTGGTCTTTGATCTCTTAAATGTAATTCAGGTGCCCAAACAAAAGGATTGATATTCTTGTACGTACCTGTACTGTGCATATGGATTGTTTATATAGTTTTTTTTCCTGAGAAAACTTAAAACACTCTTTAAATATAAAGTCTGTGTTAAATTTTATGTTTAAAACTCTCACTGATGTTAAAATGGGACTTACGCACAGAATTATTCCTGTTCGCATTTCCATCTGAAACCCTCTTGAGCGCCTTGTCATAGGTGAATGTTGGAAACCTTTTCAGAGCGCTGAAGCTCCTTTTTTCTGTAATACAAATGTGAAATCAGAATTCACCATATCTTGCAGTTCTTAGAGAGGTAACTTAGCTGCATCTTTTAAAAAAAAAAATCACTTATGTAACTAATTCATAAAATCTTTACATTTGACTGAATTGCATTGGTATTGTTACAGAAAATCAGCACAATATACTAACAGATTGTTCCCTTTTTTATTTACTTTTTCTTATAGAGGAAGTTACAGTAAATAGCAATATTTTTTCTTGCAGGCTTTAGACTTAGTAAGAAACCCATTTATTAAATCCTGTTAAGCACTTTCCATGCTCTTGGAAGTCCATTTTGGAAATGCAGTGAATGATTTTCTTTTGAAAGTTCACTGTATTGGTGGCTCCAGTGGTAAATTTCCACTTCCGTTTTCCCATCTCTTTCACCAGCGTGTGACTTATTTGTTAAATGGTACATGTATCATGGCCTTTTGAATGTGTATAATTTATTATGGGATCTAGAAATGTTAAATTTCCTGGTTTTGTAAATGTTTAATGTTTAACTCAGATGTTCAGAAAATGCTTCTTCCTCCCCTTCTTCAGTCTAGAAGACATAACATCAAATGGTGCCACCAGTCGCTTTGTTTGGCTTGAGGATATTCAGGCTTTGACAGCAGAAACCTTCAGAACAGACAAGAATCCAGACCCTGCAAACTGGGAATACAAGTCACTGTATCGAGGGGACATAGCAAGGTATAATGGGCTGTTTTGTTTTGATCTTAAAATGTCTCAAGACATGTTAGTGGTGAGATTATATTAAAAGTTTGACACTAAAAATATTTATTTATAAAACATAAAACCATGCTCAGTAATGTCCCCAGCCTCTGTTTGCCAGGGAATGGGTGATGGGATGGATCACTTGATGATTACCTATTCTGTTCATTCCCTCTGAAGCACCTGGCATTGGCCACTATCAGACTCAATATGGCCGTTCTTATGACCTGCGAGAGCCACGGTTGATGTATGTGAAGCTGTGGTTGTCTTTTTACTGTCCCCTTGTCTGGACTGGTAGGGGTAGGGATGCGGCTCCTGATGCCACGTGGAATGTTAGGATAGAGGGTGTATAAAGGCACTATGCTGCAGTACACCATGGACTGCAAAGGGAGGCGAGTCTGTGATTGTTGAACCTATAGGTCCACAAGAATCTGCAGCATCTGTGTTTGCTTTTGGAGACGCCCCGTTATGTCCTGGTGCATCTCCTTCTTTTCCTGGTAGGCCCCCTGGGCCTTTTTCTTATCCGTTCTTTCCATCTCCACATAGTCTGTGATATTCATCCTCCAAGACATCTGTTCACAGACTGATGCAGCACTGGCTTGCAGGATCTCACAGAATATGTCCATCCTGAGTCATCTTTTTTTCTCCTCTTTATCTGGCTCAGGTGTTCTGTATGTGTGGAGGGGAAACTCTTCAAAGCTGCTATAGCGCAACTACAGATAAAACACAGAGGAGCCATAGACAGTATAGTCACAAAGGAAATCAGAAGTTAAGATTCAGAATTCCCTTCCCTTGCTCCCCTAAAGTTTTAAACAAGACTTGGTTATTGACACTTCTGCTTTGCAGTGATTGTGCAGAGTCCCACTCACAGCACCAACCATGGTGAGTATGGTCTGCTGTGATGAGGGAAATGAGGAGGGAATTGCTTGATTGCATGAAACTCTGTGGGAGTATGGGGCAATGACATTGAATACTGGCACCATTTTCCACAGGCAGTGGTGATTTTAGCTGGAATCTCACTCCTGAAGGTAATAAAGGCGCAGAGAATATAGCTGTGCTGGTGTCCCAAATCTGTTCAGGCCCATATGCTGCTAGCCTTTTTACTGCAATGGTGCCTGCCAAAGTTATTACTGACTGGCATGGGAAAGTGTCCTACTGTGGAGGAAGAAATAAGGCTGCCATCCCTAGAAACCTTCAGGAGAGGATTGCAGTGCATCTCCATGAAAATTTCATTGAGATCTCTCAGGAGGATTCAAGGGACATCCCTGTGTACATAAACAAACTGCTTTGCATGGCCCCCTGCCTAACTCTAGAGGGAGAATGAAAAGTTGGTAATATTTCTATCTTTGTTGTACCTCTTCTGGTACAAGTAAATTAATGAAAAGTCAATAGCTGTGTCCTGAGAAGTTGGGGGCGTCTTTACTGTACTGACAAATGTACACAGTTACCCAAGATTCCTTCCCCTGCATCAGGCTTGCCCATGGTTGACTGCTGGGACTGACTGTACTGTGGTGGAGTCTCAAACAGGTCCTGGTTCACAGCATAGCAGCCTCCCTCCCCCCCGGACTCATATTCCCAATTCTCCTCTTCCTCCTCCTTCACCTCCTTGTGCTCTGTGTTCACAGCAGGGGCCTGTGACTCAGCCTGCTTGGGGATATCCATGTGTGGAGGTGGTGGTGGGGTCTCTGCTAAGTATGGCATGCAGCTCTTTGTAAAAGTAGCAGATCTGTGACTTGGCACAGGATTGATTGTTGGCCTCCCTGGCCTTCTGAAATGCCTGCCACAGTTCCTTCGCTTTCACACTGCTGCTGATCCCTATCACACCCCTTTTTCTATGAGCAGATTGCACAGGGGATGCAGATGTCCATGTTTCTATGGCTGGTAGCTGTGTGTGCATAGCCTCTTCTCCACACAGGCCCAGGAGATCCATTATCTCCTGTTTACTCCTGGCCAGAGCACATCTGGAGCGTATAGCTGGCATGGTCAGCTGGGCAGTTGTGCACAACAATGGTGAGCTGCTAGAGGTGTGCTCACCAAAATGCACAATCAGGAAAAGGCATTTCAAAAATTCACAAGGTTTTAAATGGGGGTATGTGACATTAAGCAGGGTACAAGCTGGATTGATGAACAGCTGCATCCTTTGAATTCTCCAGTCCGGGGCGCCTTTTACACTGCTTCGCTATGAGAGCTACCACTCCGGGTCCGCTCACAGATAGCCTACAGCATGTAACTTACTCCCAGTTATACAATGAGTGCTATAGGCAGCCACTCTTGAATTACACTGCAGAGCAACACCAGCAAATTCCCTTTCTCCCAGAAATGTACATCTTGTACTGCCCAGCTCTCTCCTGCACAATACAAGCTCATATAAAGTCCCTCATTTTATTAGAAAATGATATGCACAAATCCAGTTATCTCAAATGGTGTTTCCCAGACACTTCAGGCCAAACACATTGATTTAGATAAAACAGGTAAAACAGGTTTGTTAACTACAGAAAGATAGATTTGAAGTGACTACAAGTAATGAGGCATAAAAGTCAGAATTGGTTACAAGAAAATAAAAGTAAAACTCAACTAAAGCCTAACTTAACAAGCTAAGTGAATTCAAAGCAAAGGTCTCTCACCACAGTCTTACTGGCTGAAACTCTTTCAGTCAGGATCTTTCCCCCAGTCCAATGCTTCTTCCTTTGTTCTTCAGGTGTTGTCAGTGCTGTGAGTAGAGATGAAGGGAGAGAGAACTTGGGACATCTCTCTTCTTTTCTTATAGTTCCTTCTCTTTGTGGAGCTCCAGCTAAGGTTCATGAGACAAATTCTGAAAGTCACAAAGTCTGTGGGGAAACTGAGGTACAGAAAAGGTCACACAGCAAGTCAGTGGCAGAAATAAAACTCAATGCCTGACTCCTAGTCCAATGTATGGCACCCTAGAAACACTCCTTCATGATGTTATAAATCTAGCGCTGGTACTTTGTATGCTGAGCTAGAGCAATATGTATATATTTTTGTTACACAATTCTGCTGCCAAAAATATTTAAAGCTCAGCACATTTGTATACCCTTTCCCTTGCATGTATTTTGTATACTTTGTATTTAAATATCTATACGTATTTGTCATGTTTTCATGTAGCTCTGATTCCTGTGGTCTTGTCCATGTAGATTTGGTCTATTCCTTTTTGTGAAATTGTTAATAATACAAAAAGGAACAGAGACCTAGAGATGCAGAGAACTAGCACAGGACTAGGCTACTTATACTCTGTTTTTCCTATATAAAAATAATCCAATTTATATTAGGAGTCTTAAATATGTAGCGATATCTTGATTGGCCCCCAGTTTGTCCACATGAGAAGAGTGGTTCATGCTACGAGAAGGAAGAGAAAAGTTGATCTTTCATGGAGTACTACAGATCTTGCTTAGGAAGTATTAATTAAGTGGCAGTTTAATGCTTGCTTCAGTTCTAACGCATATAGTAGAAGTTCTGACGGGAAAGAAAAGTTGAACTGGAATAAGAGGAAAAAAATAATAATAAGCACTTTGTACCTTTTTAAAGCTCTGTACAAATGTCTAATTCAATTAGGAAATACTGAAAAGTGAACTTCTGTCTTATAGAAGATAAAAATACATATTTGACTAATGTATATTTTAATGGTCACATTTTAAAAAAATGCATTGTATTTTTTCTTTAAGATACAAGCGGAAAGGTGACTCATGCCTTGGTATTGACCTAAAGAAACAATGTATAACTTGGGAAAGTTCCATGGTAGAAAAGAAACAGTCCCACAAGCGACCTGAACGCTACTTCAAGAAGAATAGTGTGCTGTTATTGAGCACAGATGGAATTCCTGTTTACAGTAAAAGCCAAACTACTTCATCTGGTCTAAGCACTTTTATACCGCTTTCACAACTGGACAGTGATGCTCCTCCTACAACAACGTATGTGAATCCTCTTGGGATTTATGATCCATTGACCACACTCTGGTTGCAAGGAAAAGGTCCCTCAGAGCATGAGACTTTAAAGCAGCAGGCATCCCAAGAGACCAGTGAGAATGTTAACTCTGTTCTAATTGCAAAAGTGGAAGAATATAATAGGACGGTCAGAGAAAATCCAAGAGATGTTCACACTTGGATGGAATTTGTTTCTTTTCAGGTACACATTCTTGTACTTCTCGTTGCAATGCTTTGTGATATATTTATTTTATTTGTATCTGAGTAATAATTTTCTGCTTAACATCTTGTTTCTGAGTTAAATTATATATGTGTGTTTATGCTATTGTACATGAAATATTTTTGTATGATTTATGTTTTTTTAAAAAAAAAGCTTGCAGTAATAGAAAGAGATGCAGTCATTCGCTGACACTTATGTCAACCTTCTCCTTAGTGCTTCTACAAAGCCTGAGACACTTCTGTATTTATAACTTTGAGTTGATTTCCTTTTCTTTTAAGGATGAAATAATGAGAGGACCCAGCCCTTATGCCATCAAAGAGGGAGAGCAGGAAATAAGGAGAAAATCATTCAAGCTAATCCTAGAAAAGAAACTGGCCATTTTAGAGAGAGCTATTGAAAGCAACCCAAATGATGTTGATCTGAAACTTGCCAAGCTGAAGCTTTGTACAGAATTCTGGGAACCATCAACTTTGATCAAAGAATGGCAGAAACTGGTTTTTTTGCATCCCAATAATCCAGTCTTGTGGCAGAAATATCTCTTATTTTGTCAAAGTCAGTTCAGCACCTTTTCAGTTTCAAAAGTCCATAGTTTATATGGAAAATGTTTGAGCACTTTGGCAGCTGTACAGGATGGCAGCATGGTGTCACATCCTGTACTGCCTGGCACAGAGGAAGCTATGTTAGGTAAGAAGATTATCTTTTTATATCTCATTTTATGGCCATTAAGATTTTCACACCGGCTGAATATATTTTAGGAAGAGATTCTCCTCTGTATTGTGCTAATTTTTTGTTTTGCAAAGAGCCTGCTGAAAATGTCTGGCATCTTGCCTCTTTAGGTGATAGTAAAAGTAAATATTCAAGCCCAATATGGATACAACAGATGCTTCCCTTCTTCTTCGAGTGCTTGCTCATATCCATTCCATTAGGTGTGTGCGCGCCGCGTGCACGATCGTCGGAAG